TGATCACATTCCCATAGGACACAATTAGATGTGAAATGTAGGGTTCTGGTGGAGAGGTATCGTTCTTGGATTGCCCACCCTCGCTGAAGCAGCGGGCTGTGTTTTATCTCTTTGTGCCATGAGGGGAACGTTGGTCGAATCACGACCTCATCGACGTTTCCAGAAGACGATATCTCTTGGTAAATCAGGGGCTCTTTTGGCGCTGATAGCCCAGGCCGCGGGAGAAACAATCCCTGGTCAGATGAGCTAGCCCCTGTCGCGGCAAGGGCCAAGACAGAGTTCTAGTAATAGTGACCAAAGCGTGACGCCTCATGAAGCCAATCCGCCTTGTGAACTTTGTCTCTGGGACCTTTTGCCTGTAAGATGCAGAGGGCGTCGACCCATAAACACTTGATTCCCATCGCCCTAGTGATGACAATGGCGTCTTGGATTGTCCTAGGTAGCTTGGACCAAGGGAGCCTTGTCATCATGTCTTGGATGTTTGACTTGGTGGTCTTTGGAAAACCGGTTACGGGGCCCCAGGCGTAACTCAGGGTCAAGTACTCGATGTCATTTCCATCATCTTCTGAGACAATATGCAACCTCGCGGGATGTCCTTGCTCATCGTTTCCCACGTCGATGAGCCTGGTGGGTACAGTCTCGACTCATCGCCGCCGATGGTTTTGAACTTGGTGCATGTTTCATGGTCTTTGCAACAGATGTTGGGCCAGCTTTTTGCATCCACGGCAATGACCGCGATGCCTTGATCGAAATAGGAGCCCTGCCCTGCATTTTCGGTTGACAGGAGGTGGCTTATTGGTTTGGAAGGCTCTATCGCAAGAACTCCAGGTAGGGGTAGGGGTATGGGAGAATACTCTCTTCCAAGGGATAAGGACGCCTTCAAATGATTTTCGAGACCAACCAGCATCGTGGGACTGCTAAAAGGGGACTTTTTGGCAAATTCGCTAGCAAGCCTGGGTGCAAATTTCCGCATATGGTCGAGGGGGTCTTGTTGGGTGTTGTTCATTTCTAATATGATCCGATGCTCATCGCTGAGTAGCAATGTACTGCTCTATTGATATAGGCAATACTGGCGGGAAATTTGACAGAGGTGACAGCCAGAATCCGCAGATGAGTTCAATGAAGAAAAGTTCTGTGCGAGGAGGTGCTCGAATGGATCATCGCGAATGGTAGCTTGAAGATAGGCCGAAAGAAATGACTGGCATGTGGAACATATCGGTCCTGACGCGTAGAACATGGCGAGGGTTTTGAAAGGGGGCAAGGATGCCTCTGCTGGAGATGGATGAGTGAGATTGCGGGCTATTGCCTTTGTCTGCTTATATACTTGTGGTGTTGGTTGGACATGTGCCTGAGGCACCGGCTGCACGCTGACTTAACTTGTAGCCTGTTAGGAATCGCGAATTTGTAAAAGTGTGACTGTGTTATTTCTTTTTTCTAGTCTAGTCTAGCAACAAAGGTCCGTGTTTTGTGGCCTTTTGTCACGTTCTAGTGGTTATAATCGACGTTTTTTCAGGTCTGTGATGCCCTCAAAAATGAAATCAGACACCCGAGATTTGACCGCACTCGCATCAGTCGCCATCACAGCCAAGTAAATCATTATTCCGCAGCCAATAGAATTATCAGGGCTTATATCACATAGCCTTTAGCCAACAGTAAAACTAGGATGACGAAAAGGCCAGGCAAATATCACGTTTAAGCGAACGCGGAACACAGTTAGTCATGTTTCCCTTGCAATAGTGAGATGAGCACTTTCCTGGCGATGGTGTCTACGAGGCCGAAATCTTTAAAACTGCGGATACACAAAGATTTCTTATTTCTTGAATAACCACTGAATTCTCTGCTCTTCTGGGATCCTTCCACCGGGCAATTTCAGTGAGCGCTGTGATGAGCACGCTCAGCCGCACTTTCCACTACAACACCTTTCCACACAACGTTACCAGCCCATATATTGAGATGGTATCAGGCAGATAGGTGCAGAAATTTATGGCCCATAGGGAGAATACACATTCCGAGCATACGTGTACGCTCAGCACCTAAAGTCTCAACTCTATTCAGCAGTCTAGTCCAATTACGATAGTCTTGCTGCCCTTATCCCGCTACCTAGCCTGGGTAGTCTCACCAGGCTGCACCATCATGCTGTCCACCCATGACATACATGCAGTCTGCAGCCAACTAGGAAGCCTCACTCTGGTCTCTACATATTAGCTTGGTAGCAAAGTCTAAGTAGTGAGAAATGAATCATGTTTCTAGCTTAACTCTACGAGCGGCATTGATCATCCTGCAATCGCAAACCTGTAAAACGAGCTCAAGAACCATTTCAGAGGTGAGGGGAGAAGCATTGAAAAGTAATTGAACCTCATAGCATACCCAGAGGGAAGATCAAGGCAACCCAGTCAAATAGATACAGTTTTACACAGTCAAGCCATCATGCCCAATGCCTTAAGAGAGGAGAAGCATGCGGAGGACATCCGGAACGAACAACAAGCTAATAGCGGGGCCATAATTTCATGTAGTGAACTTAGGCATCAGTGCTTGTTTCTAAACCCTCGTCAATAATCGAACCACTTCAGATTGAGACGATTATGAAGGTGCCACTGCATGCAGCTCCCAATAGATGTAGCACTCTTTAATTAACCGATAATCCAACGCGAGCATGGAAGCTCATTCATTATTGAAACCAGATGCCAAGATACCCGAGTCAAACTTGCTGTTGAGCTATCAACAACGTTCGTCAATCTTGGTCAAATAAACATTTAGGTTGGCCGTCAACAAACGAAAGCATAGGCGAGCTGCACAAAAGCATAAGGCACAGGCCATTCCTACCCTTGGATAAAGCCGGAACAACTGCCGAGGCACTTTTTACGAGATAAAATTCTTGTGAAAAGCATTGACCAGCTATAACCTCGGTCAGATGACGATCCGCCAAGTGTTTACCCACGGTGATGAGTTGGATAATGAGACGAGGCACTATGAAGTTGGTCAACGTAGAAGGTGTTTCCGAGAGGTATCCGCACGAGGTGCGTTTAGTTTCCAGAACAAGAAGGTGGGAAGAGAGAGAGCAATTAAGGTGCGTTGGACACACAGACTAGATCAAGTAGTCACCCGGACCAAGAAATAAATTGCACACTGCACGTAGGCAATGAGACCTCTACCGGGCTATATAGATAAAACTTAGACTAAAATAAATAAATAAAAATATAAATTATATAAATTATGTTCTAAAGTTTATATAAAATCTTTGATTTATCATCATAAGCCTTTTTGCTGTCATTCAGCGGAGTAGGTACCTACTCGCGAAGTGTGCCATTTTTTTTCTTGGACCACTAGCCAGTGTGATCAAGTTGTTTGGGAGAGCTTCAATGTAACATGACATGATCCTGAAAATCAGATGTAAGGAACAAAAATACACGTCGTTCGACTCATGGGCGGGTAAGCTTCTCTTTTTTTTTGCCGATACCCCCCTCTCACAGTGGCACCAGCTTCAAGATTTGCGCGCTTGATCTCTGTCATTTTCAGGTAAGCATACGACAGAAAAGACAAGATAAAGGGCGCCGATCCCGGAAGACATGAGCGGGGACCGAGATGAAACGAGCCTCTTCTGTCTACAGTAATCCAGGGCCTGGGGTTCGTCCGTTGGAAGCATGGAAGAGCACTAGAAGGCGACTTGGAAGACCCCCTGATTTCCTTGACGTCAAAAGCGAGCCTCTTCTCCACTAAAAGCGGCTCCAACGTCGGCCTCTCAGGACCACGTGTGGGTTTTTGATGTGTAAGAGAGCCTCACGCCGAGACTTTTGTCTCCATCTTTCTACGTAAAAGAAACTCTTGAGGAACACGCGCCAGTTGGGAATTAAGCCGAGAAAAGCTCCACATTGTCAGGAAGGTAAACAGCTGATTCTTGGCTGAGGATGATTGTTTGTTCAGTTCAGTTCTTTTTCGTAGAGTTTTTTCTGTCGCGTCTTGTCAAAGACCTCCGGTTTATATCGCCGGGTCTGCCTCCAAACCTGAACCGGACTCGGCGGACGGCTCCGGCGCTACCGGCCAACACACGGAGGCAACGGCCGTGCATTTCTTAGCCAAGGCTGCAGGTTCATTTCAGGCAGGTCAACCTCACCAACGGACCGGCTCTCCACTTTTCGGTGGTCCATCCCGGCGGGTATGCCGGCATCACCGATGTCCAATCGGCCACGGTCCATCCATCGTCAGAGCCCCTCGTCTAACTGGCAATTTCGCCTCCGGATCACCCTTTTTTTTTTTGCATCTTGGCTCTCAAGCCTCTGTCTTGTCCAGGGACTTGCAATCTCAACACCTCGACCCCAGGATTTCGCTCGTTGTAGATGACATTGGAGAATTGCAACTCATCACGTAATTGACACAACATGGAACCTCCAGACTCGCCGTCCCCCACGGGGTTGGGCTCGAGAAGGGTAAAGACGACAGTCACGCCTCCGCAGACGACCCCCTCTTCCCACCAGACTACTCTGTCCCCGGCCTCAAATGACCTGATGGCCCAAACTCCGTAATGTCAGTGCCTCCATTGGGTGGCCGACTTCCAAAGAAGGCTCTTTGCTCGCCTGGGGTTCCTGGAGAATTAGGGGGTCACTATGAACTCCTTCCCACAACCCCATTCTCCCACTCGAGTCTCCATCGGACCATCGCGGCCATGTGTGCAGGCATCAAATCTTCTTACCCGCCCCAAGACCTGCTCCGATCGGAGCTCTTTCGCCTGGGGTATATGACCTTCCAGAAAAAAGGGTATATAAATGGAGACCCCTACTCCGCTCATAGAATCCGGTCCACTCGCTAGCCCATCGGACTTGGTTTCTTCTCATCTTTTCTCTCTCTACTCCCGTTTCTACCTTGCCTTGTACATCAGTCCTTTCTTTTTATCTCAAAGGACCGCATGTTAAGAGGGTAGGCTTCAACATCTCCTCCCAAGGCAACACCCCAGACCTCCTCAGCCCAAGCCGAACAACACCCACACATCCACGGCAATGGGTCTCATGAAATTCTCTAAAAAGTCGGCCGAGCCGGCCGCGCCGGAAGATCAGATTCATGAATCGAGCGCCTCAGACAATGACCAGGTTAAGACCGACGCCGACTTCCAAGAAGTTCCAGCCGGCGCCGTTGAAAAGGGCAACATCTTCGAACAAGGCGGCAAGAACTACAGAACGCTTGGCCGCTGGGACACAATCCTCATCCTCTTCACAAATCAGCTCGGTCTCGGTATCCTATCTCTTCCATCCACCATCAAGACCCTAGGCATTGTTCCCGGAATCATCGCTATCATCGGTATCGGCTTCCTCTCGTGGTATTCCGCCTTTGAGCTCTTGCAGTTCTATAGCAAGCACCCCAACGTTGTCAGTATCGTCGAGATGACCCGGATCGTCGGAGGCCCTTGGTTCGAGTCTATTGCTGGTGTTGTCATGATGATCCAAGTTGTTTTCATCGTTGCGTCGGCTGTCGTCACTCTATCAGTCGCCCTCAACACGCTCAGCAACCACGGAACTTGCACAGTCGTCTTTATTCTGGTTTCTTGCATCGGCTGCTACATCTTGTCTATTCCTCGAACCATGAAGTTCGTATCCAAGGCCGGTATCCCCAACGCCGTCAGCGTTGTCGGTGCTTGCATGGTCGTCTTGATCAGCCTGGCAGTCTCAGGCCCCAACAACAAGCCAGACGATTGGTCCAGGGACATTGTTATTGTTGGCCACCCATCCTTCCGTGATGGTCTCAATGCTTGCCTGCGAGTCGTCTTCTCATATGCTGGTACTTTCACCTTTGTCAGCTACATGGCTGAGATGAAGGATCCTGCTCGCGACTTTGGCTTTTCCTTGGCTGTCTTGGAAATTGGCAGCACTGTTTTCTACGTCATCATGGCAGTTGTCCTGTACTGCCTCAGCGCCGACCTCACCACGTCCCCGGTTCTCAGCGCCGCTGCGACTATTCCGGCCAAGGTCGCTTATGGAATCGTGCTGCCAGCCGTCATTGCTACCGCCCTCTCCATCGGTCACACTGGTTGCAAGTATCTCTATGTTGCCGCACTCCGGAAGATGAACGCTCTCAACCAAGTCACCGACAATAGTGTGAAATCATGGACCACATGGGTTATCTCTGTCAGCGCGTTTTGGATCCTCATCTTTACCATCTCAAACGTCATTCCCATCTTCGACTCCATCCTCTCCATCACCTCCGCCACAACTATCCCATGGTTCACATATGGCTTTGCAGCCATTTTCTGGTTTTACAGTAACTGGGATGTCAAGTTCTCCAACTGGAGAAAGATTTCTCTCTCTATCGTCAACGTCCTTATCATCTGCGCTACTTTCTTCCTCAATGCAGGTGGACTGTGGGCAGCCATCACAGAGTTGATGGACCTGTTTGATAAGGGAGACGGAATTGGAGGAGTCTTTTCTTGCGGGAACAATGCGATTTTCTAGATCAATAGCCTTAGAGCATAATTTCAATACCTTTTATCCGTTTCATTCAGAAATCCTTCTAGTCCAGCCTTAAAACTGTCTATCAGCGTTCACGCATACAAAGATCATATCTATGAATAGTTCATGTGACTGTAGTTGCCGTTCCTCCACCTATAAGAAACAATGTCCGGCCGGTTAACTTCTATGCGTCCCATAAGTTCTTTTATCTTTAAAGAGCCCATTATCTGAGTATGTGGGGATACTGCTGGTGTTCTCCGTGAATACGCTGTCTATGAAAACAGGTATTTAGTTAAGATTCCTGAGTATCTATCGTGGGAAGAGGTTAGTATGCATCCCAACTCGACTTATATGATCTAGTATCAATTTACAATCCCAATTAGGACTCCACGTTGGCTTGCGCTGGGCTTACGGCTTGGACTGCCCTCGACGCACTGCCTGAGTTGTCTAGAACCGGCAGCGCACTCTTACAAGGTTGAATGACCAGCGATATTGATAGGACGGATCCTGCTGACTCAAAACAGGCACTGGTGGTGTAAGCATGTTCGCAGTTTTACTCTGCGAAGCTGCTGGTCTTCAGTCGATAATCACGTCCTCCTCCGACGCAAGGATCGAAAGCATCAAGAAGCTGGGATCACGAGTCGAGGGTATCGACTATAAGACTACACCCGATCAAGGAGCAGAAGTTCAACGCCTTACAAACGGTACGAGTGTTGACTTTGTCACCAATAACTCAGGCCCTGGGTCTATCCCACATGACATCGGAGTCCTGCGTAAGAGAGGCGGCACTGTCTCTCTTGTAGGCTTCCTGGCCGGCTACGCAACAGAGTGGGAGCCATCAGCCATCATGGCACTAATGGGGAAGGCCGCCAAATTGAAGTAGGTCATTTCCTTTACTGGCTTCAAGCAAGTTCCTGCAATCGATGAGTAGCTTACGTAGCAACAGGGGAATCATGGCTGGCTCGAAGAGGGATTTCCAGGATCTCTGCCAATTTCTGAAAGACAAGAAGGTCTCTACCAGCCCAGTTATTGACCGTGTCTTCTCATTCCATGAGTCTGAGGATGCCTTCAACTACCTTTACTCGGGAAAGCATATCGGCAAGGTTCTTATTAAGATATGAATACACTGAGCCATAAGTTTAGCTGCAGTGCGAGACGCCCAATATGCACGTATCAGTTTAGACCTAGGATGTTGAGGAAATTTTAGATTCTCAGACTGCTCTCGATTTATAGCATGAATGTCACCGTGCTTCATCTGGGCTCTCGTGACTAAGAAGACGTGATTCACAGGTGTAGCATAATGGCGTACTCTTGGTTTGGATGCTCAACTGGCCCATCTCACCAAGGTGCACTGGAATCGTTATTGCCGACTCAACGGGTTCTAGATTTCACACCAACCCGGATTGTCATTGGGCTTACCTTGGCAGCAACTGAGCGATACCTTTCGCGTGCTTCAGAGCAGAACAGGCTGGCGTTGTCCTTGCGTCTGTCTGTAGAACGTCAAGGCAGACTCCTTGCGCCGACTAGGCAATCCGTCGTCGTCACTTCTCCGCGGAATTGCCTATGCCATCGGGGTTTGTTACAAGTAGAGACATGGCATCGGCATTGATGACGACGGTCCGATAGTATCGAACGAGGACTCTATCAAGGTTTCCATTGTGGTTCTTGGGACCCAGTTATGGGTTGTTAAAAGATGACTCGCAACCACGGACCATCCTGGTTCATATATTCTGCTTACAGCTGCATCGGCCGGCGAGATTCATACCGATATCAGATAATGTTACCCGGTCAAGGATATGATTCCTGAGTCGGCATAGCTCAGGCGCTAATGCAGGCTGCTTACGGTTGCACGGACCCCCCGGGAGACGTCACCAGCAGAGATCAGTAGATGGCAATATGCCTATCCACGCTCTCACATGGAGGTAGGAGGTGAACCCGGGCTTCCCTCTAATGGCAGATGCAACCATGCCACTGGGGAAAGGCCGAAAGGCTATCGTAGGCACGAAAGAGGCTTAGGGGAAAGGGGCCGAAATCAAATCGCAGGGTGATATACCGTAACGATCTCGACTCCATCATTCATAAGAACTTAAAATCTCTAAGAAAGAGGGTAAGCCTTTCCTACTAATCCCTCCCCACTTTGCCAAGGACCTTTTCAGAACCGAAGCCGGAACCGTGAAATGATAGGGTGTTTACACTAGATAACAAACACGGGCTTAATAATTATGTCCGTACCTAAAGATATCTGGATGATAAAAGAACAGCAGCTAGGCCGGAATCGTAACAGTTGAAATCCTTTGATTATAGAGTTGAACGGTCCTGATAAGCGTTTCTCTTACGTTTTAAATGCAGCAGCCCTTACCAGACTGCGGCTTCCACGGCGCCAGCCTCAAATCAATGAGAATTGTAGTACACAAATAGCGTTAGTTTTAGTATGCTATGAATACAAGCGTACTATAATGTTGATAGATAATAAAGATAAAGCGAGATAAAAACCACGCGTAGATAATTGAGCAAGCGAACATCTAATCTCAGTGCCTAACCTCATATAGAGTCTAGCCTTGAAAGTCTGGGTTGTAAACACTAGAGTACGGGGTTGATAATCAATCCGTTTGTTAGATTAGGATGAAAACTGTCCTCAAAGTGGGTTCATACACACTCTAACATTCCCAAGATAGGTCCGGAACGACTATTTAAAAGGCCAGGTTCCTCAGGTGTTCACCAGGAATGTCACTTCCAATGGCTAACTGATCTTTTGCACTCATAACCTGTTCGCAAACATGAGACTCCCGACACTCCTCCTAGCGGCCGCCGCGGTGGCCCGATCCTCGCTCGTTGACAGAGGGCAGGTTGTCAGTCTCGGAGGCATCAACTACTACGTTGGCGGCATCGTGGTTGGCCAGCTTGGAAGCGGCTGCACTAAAAAGGCCATTCTCTCTGAAGCGGCCATTCCGGGACTCGACTTATTCCCGATGACTATTTTGGAGACTTCTGCTGAAGTATTTCTTCCTGACGAGCTGCTCAACACGACGGCGCAGTACGCTAGTGATGACGACGTTTTCCAGCCCGCCTTCCTCGAGACGATCTACCTTCAATCTCGTGGCTCCAAGCCCCCGACGGTAAACAGCTCGGTGCTTTTAGAGCATCTTGAGGAGCTTAACACGACTCTCTTCGTATCCTCCGGCGGCATCCTCGGCAGCGAAGACAAATTCGTTACCAGCACCATCAGCCCCAGTCTTCCCAAGGGCCCCTACTTCGTCTCTGCTCTCACCGGAAGCATCTTCAAGGCCCATAGACTTTATGATGACGATTACTTGGCTTTCGTGCAGGGTGTCGTCAGCGATGAGGCAGGCAGCTACTTTTCTCTCCCGGCTGTTACGCAGAATGTCATGGCCAAGTCCATCGCTGTCCCGTCCAGGCTCTACTATACCCAGACGGACGATCAGCCGCTCGCCGGACTGCGCTTGGGTGTCAAAGACATTTTCCATGTAAAGGGCGTGGCCACCAGTGGTGGAAACCGGGCTTACTTCTACCTATACGGGAATCAAAATAACACGGCCCCTTCGATCCAACGCTTGATTGACCTCGGCGCGGTGCTGGTTGGCAAGATGGGAACGGTGCAATTCGCCAACGGCGATAGGCCGACAGCTGACTGGGTCGATTTGCACTCGCCCTTCAATCCTCGAGGAGACGGATATCAGGTTCCCAGTGGATCATCTTCAGGACCGGGTGCTGGTATCGGCGCCTACGAGTGGCTCGACTTGGCCGTCGGTAGCGACACCGGAGGATCGATGCGTGGACCTGCCGGCTCCCAGGGGGTTTTTGGCAACCGGCCGTCGACTGGTGCCATTTCGTTGGAGCATGTCATTCCGTTGAGTCCTGTCTCGGACACAGCTGGAATTTTTGCCAGGAGCGGCAAGCTCTGGGCCCGAGCAGTTCAGGCATGGTATCCCGACTTCCAGTCTAATTACAGTTCCTATCCCCAGTCCATCTACCGACCCACCGTCATGCAAGGCGCCTGGTCCGGCAGCCCAGCGACCCCAGAGGCGGTCGCACTTATGAGTGCCTTTGTCACAGGTCTTGAGGATTTCCTCGGGGTTACGTCTACTCCGGTCAACTACACCCAGCGCTGGAGTGAGAGCCATGGCGATGCCCCTGCCAGCCTTGCCGATATGCTCTACCTCACCTATGGAGTTATGGTCTCCCACGACCAGTGGCAGATGCTCGGAAAGCCCTTCTTCGACGATTATGCGGCAAAGCATGACGGGCGGACGCCGTATATCAACCCCGGACCTCTGGCGAGGTGGCGATGGGGCCAGGCCAATGCCACGGACGAAGTGTACGCCCAAGGCTTGCGCAACATCTCCACCTTCAAGAACTGGTGGGAGACGGAAGGATTTGGTCGCCACGACCCCGAGTCCTGCTCCGAGGGTGTATACATCTATCCGTGGTCTACGGGCGACCCGGCCTACCGCGACGAGTACAACTTTGCCGCTCCATCAAGACCACCTCTTGGGTTCGACGATTCATCCATCCCGGTCATGGCTGGAGCCCCAGAGGTCGTTGTGCCCATCGGTGAAGTGCCCTTCAACAGCACGAAGACGATGCACACCGAGTACCTGCCGGTGACCATGGGCCTCAGGATGGCACGTGGCTGTGATGATGTTCTCGCAAGGCTCGTCGGCGATCTCGAGGACGCAGGGGTCTTACGTGCGGTTTCTGCCGGGAAAAGACTTTACCCTTAAGAGTGAATCTGTCAGGGGAACTATGGCCAGACGCAGCGCTTCGTTCTCGAGGTCAGTGTCCCGGAGGCAGTTTAGAATCATTTGGCATGTCAGCAACAGCCACAGCAGCTTCCATGCTTGGGGGCTGGTTATCTCACCGAGTGCAGAGGGATTAAACCTATGAGCCCGAGGTGTAAATGCCATGGATGAGCCTTTAGATATAAGAGGTGTCGTGTAAATAAGCTATCTGTTGCTGGAGCCTAGGCTATTAGCCATAGCACCTTATATATTTTACTTAACTCTATCCCACCGTTATGCCAAAAATCTAACGCATTAGCTACCCTTTTTCCCAAGCCATATCTACAGACTGCCGACAAAACCGTGGTCCGAACCCAAATAGCAAGCCGCCACATAGCAATGCAATCTCGTACTAGTCTCTACTAGCTCGGTGTCGAGAATAACGCAAATCATAAGATTGTCCTACGATGCGGCTGGGTGTAACTCTTCTGCTACCTGCAAAAAGTTCAAAAAAGCCACCATGTTAATATCGCTTTATAATTTTATAACATGTTGATAGTTTATTCTTTACTATTAGGTAGTCATAGCGCGGCCCTTGATGGCAACTGAGCCAGAAGATCGAGTCTATGTGGCACGTCATGCAACCACATGGGCTTGTATGTACAGGACCCCGTCCGGTGTAGCTAAGGCCGTTGCTTTCTTTTCATTGCCAAGTTCTAATAGGCGTCCCAGGCCCAGATATCTAGCTTTTTAATGGAGAGTTTAGTACACCGCCCCCATCACTGTGCACACACATACCCCTCACATCGATAGACAGGACTCAGAGACCTTCTACACACTAAACATCAGTCAAATAAACGATATATGCAGTGCTCTCAAACGTTCTACGGCATAATTCGTAAGTTTGGCACCATCCTTCATCTTCTTTATAGTATGTACTCCCTTTACTTTTTACCTATGCAAACTTGACAGAGCATCACCTTTCAGCTGTAAACCAAGCAGGCACTAAAGGATTCCCCCTGTTCAACCCTATTATCCAGGCGGTAACTTGAAAGGATTCCCAACTCTCTCGATGGCAAGGATCATCGCGTTGCTTTTGTGAGTTTGATTGTTGGTATGTCACTTCGCTTCAAAGGAGCCAACAACTCAGGTTGAAAGCATCACCAACGTCACAAAAGGAAGGAGCCAAAGTAGTATCGAGAGCATTCACTAAAGCTAAAGCATCAAGGTATTGGAATCCAATTGTAAAGCAAGGTTGGGTCTGACTCGCCCTTTCTGGTTTCGTTCAAACCAATTACTCTCTGTTGCCATCATATAAAACGCTTCCCTTTCCGTGTAAAGAACACCAAGGGAAATGGTTCTACTTTACCCTGTAGTCACTTGATTTTTTTGCCAGACTATTTCCTCTAGGCTAGTGCAACGCTTTCAGTCAAGCTGTGGGGTGTTAGTGACTGTCGCAATGAGCGATGGTTATAAGAGGCTACCAGTAGCTTGGTCTCAGTCATCAGGCACGACACATCAGTGGGGTTGTTTTAGCTGGAAACGCATCTATTAAATTGCGATCCAAGGCATGTCTAGCTGAGGCATCGAATTTCACGGCTTTGCCGGCGTCCTTTTACTTAAAAATACTTGCTCAAGTGTCCAGGTAGCGACGGCAAGATCACAAATCAAGGCCCCATGGCAATTACAGGCTAAGACGTGACCTCATGAATGACGACGAATTGCTAACCACTATGGGAATAGAATGACCCGATGGCCTGGGGAAGTTCAGCTGGCTCAGCTCATGAAGAAATTCAAGTCGGTCCGGCCGTGCGAACCTGTTAGGCGAGAGCGCCACAAGCGGAAAAAGACCACGGCCTAGGTTCAAAGCTGTCACCACCGCGGCGGTTAGCCTTGTTGGTCTAGACCCGGGCCTCGTCACATGAATGGGATTAGCGGGGGAATTGTCATCGGCCGTCTTTTTGATCGGAAGCGTCGGCGAACTGTTGGTCTGGCATTTGACGTGAGAGTCTATTGGATTTGACAGTTGGTCTAGTTCCGCGCCGTCTGCTTGGGAATTGGGCCATGCTTCTGTAAGCATCAAGTCAGCCAGGCACATGTTTGTTTCATTTGACAAGTCTAGATCAAGGTTCATGTTATCACCCGATTGTCTGGGTTGGGTAGTGTGTTGTGAAATGTCTGAAGCGCCAAGCAAGACGTAGCACGATGATGGATTCAGGGCCTCTGGTTGGTGATTGAGACCTTGAAGGCTAAGAACGAGGGGTTTGAGCAGCACCGGCACAAAGGAACTGATAAGCCTCTTTGCGTCGAGCTACATCCGAGTCGAGACAGAAGATTATATTTCTTTGTTATTGTCGCTTTGTTTGATGGCTATTTCCCATGAATTCATCATGACGGAGACCTAGAACTCTTTGCTTTCAAATTGAAATGGGCAGATATCGGTAAGAATGATTCTCTGCAGCGGGTTGGACATGCCATCCCTCTCAAACGCTCTCCAGAATGGTGTCACCAAGTGCCATTTCTATGGTGATAACAAAGCTCTTGTGTTCACCATGCTTAGTCTCTATTGCAGTTGTCATTCTAGTCTCGTTCGTCTCGTCCGATTGGTCTCTTTGTCTGGTATTCGCGCGGCGGAGCTATGCATGTGTAGTCACTAGACACGACGGTCTATCGAATCATTGTCTGAGAGTCGTCAGCAAACACCGCCTCCGTCATTGGCCTCGGAATTTGACAGAGAAAACTGTATATAGTCATCGTGCTGATAGACTATAGCTCTTTCACTACTCGATCTGTTTCATGTAAGTGCGGTTCGTGAACGCAGCCATTGATAGCTCTTGTTGTTATGCCGTGCATTCGATTCGAGTCGCTTGTCAAAGATGAAGGGGGTATATCGACCACGGCATGTCAGGGTTTTCCAATCCTGGAGCCTGCTCTTCGAACAATCAGTCACAGCCTAGACAGTCAGCCCCCTGAACCCGCCATGTCTTTGTTGACTTGGCAATGAAACGTCAGCCTTGTTCCTTCAGGCCTGATACTTTTTCTTCCCCCATTCAGAAGTGATGCGCGTGCTAGAGGACTCATTCGAACTGCCGAAATTCTTGCTTGTGTTGATCGGTCGTTCCCAATCTCATCGAGTGTTGCATGCAGATCTGTCAGCATCGGCACATATTGCAGGAGTCTGAAGCGATATAGATTTGTAGATCCAACCGCAGATGGGTACATCGCCGGTCTTATCAATGCGGGTGCGAGTCATGTAGGAGCTCCGTTGAAGCTGGTGAGACACTAGACATGGCGTCGTTTCGAGTGACGACAGTGGGTGAAATCGCGGAAATCGAGCCGCATTCTATCAAGTGCATGGAACAGCGACAAGAGCACAGTTCCACCTTGGCAACGCAATTGAAACTTGCCAAGGTCTTAATATGATCGAATACGGATTGCTGCTACATCATTTGACCACCCCTACAAGTCTACCAGCACAGCCTGATTGAGCATCCAGCTCGCCATTCATCAAATGCCTACCCTACACTCACGGCAAGCCACAGGTGGTGAGCGCTGTGTGAGTCAATGTGCAGTAAACTCGGACTCCCTGACATGTGCCTGACTCTAATGCCCCTTTCCCGAGTCAAACGACACTCCGCGTTCCGGTCCGCCGGATTCGACAAGAGTCTTGTGGCTTTTCCCTTTTTCTCTAAAAACGCTCAGACCATTCTCAATCTTGGTGTGTGTGTGCGTTGGGGGACGGGAAGTGATGTTGACAAGTTGGAGCCAAAACTTGTTAGCATCATTTTTTAGCGTCCTCAGAGCTCAAGTCCAAGCGTCCAGACGGGGACAATGGTCAAACGTCTTTTTGGATGATCGATATATCCGAGCCCGGGGGAGGATGGCACTGGCCATGGAGTGCAAGAACAAGAATGGGTATTGTTGTTATTGAAGCTATTTTGAGGTTGGTGATGAATACCACGCTGTGCAAGGATGCTGGTCTCAACACTTTGACAAAGAGGGTACTGAATGGCTCCTGAATTGTTTCGACCAAGAATGCCCTGGCCTCTCAGTGGACGACATTCACTCTGCCCAGAGCCCGCCCTGGCACTAGGGCATGGATAGAGTTTGTTGGTGAATGGCACCCTCCCAGGGTCAAACAGCAGCTGGGTTTAATTGATATCCCACTCGATGGGTGAATGAGCCAGCCACAGTCAAAGTCAGGGCAAATTGAGGGGAGGTGTGCGACTGTCTGTAACTGGTCGCTCTCGCCCGGGTATAATGTGGCGTTACGGGCTTCACCGGAAGTACGAGGCCGGACGGCTCGAATCTCGGGTCAGCAGCCATGTTATGCAAGATGTGAGATCCGCACAGATGCAAACCCGACAAAAGGACAGACGGGCTCTGTTGCCACGGGAGAGGGGTCCTGTGCTTTCTTCTTGCCAGAGCCTCCTCTTTGTCTCTTTGCTTTTGGTCACGGGGCTGAAGGCCCAGATGCTAGAGGCAAACTTTTTTCCGTGTTTGATTGGGCGTGGATTGGTGGAGATGCTTGGCGTTGACCAAGGTTTCTGGGGGCATTCCAAGGATGGGAGCATCTTTGTTCAGCCTCTTTGCTCAGAAGGCATGCAAGTCTCGGCTTGCAACGTGATGATGGATCACTTTCCGACAATCTGTCAGATATCAGACCCCAGAGGTCAGATATCAAGACAAAAACCGTCATCGGCTGGCATCTCAGTGTGACGTGTGTTCTCCAGCGGCCAACTCCCTTACATCAAAACCACCTGGGTGCCAAGCACAGTGGATGATGCCCAATGTAGGGAGGGAGATGATGGTCGCCTTGTGCGGTAAGGAGGAATGAAAAATTAGGCTCGAGATTTTTTTCTCTTTTTTTTTGCTTCTTCGTCCCCAGGACCAGGAATGAAGCAAACACGGCCACCACAGCTGGGACGCCATCAAGCTTGATGAGAGCTGCCGTTTCCGATGCGGGCACCAACGGGACTACCGAGAGTGAATACATTGTGTGT